TCAGCATGGCTTCATAAAAACACTGCAGGATTTCTCAAACATGATGAATGAGTCAGAGCAAGGCTTTGGACATGTTTTTAATGAGAGTATAACATTATAACATGATATAAAACTCAAAAAAGTTGATTTTACATGATACTGCTCCTTTAAATACATTTTGTTGTGAACCTGAAATCTGTAGGAGGCAGAATAGTTGAATTTAGTCTCCTGGTGCTGCAGAGATCTTTATATTCGGTTTGGGTCAGATGTTTCAGCCCGTTCAGTTTTATCTATTTTCTGAACGATTACGTCACGCGATCTGTGACAAATAAGGTCTGAACTTACCAACTACAAGTTCCTCCACTTCCTCCTCTGTTTCTGGGTCAGACTCTGTTTCTGGGTCAGACTCTGGTTCTGGGTCAGACTCTGGTTCTGGGTCAGACTCTGGCTCTGGGTCAGACTCTGTTTCTGGGTCAGACTCTGATTCTGGGTCAGACTTTGATTCTGGGTCAGACTCTGGTTCTGGGTCAGACTCTGTTTCTGGGTCAGACTCTGGCTCTGGGTCAGACTCTGGCTCTAGGCTGGATGTATAAGTCTGTTGTTCCCATATTTTAATTAAATAGTAAATAAAACATTTCTATAAGCCTGAAAACATAACCCCCTCTGTCAAACTGGAGTGGACCGGTCTGGAAGCCGGAGGGGGCGGGGCTTGAAGTTTCTTAAAGAAACAGTAACAAAACCAGCTGCTTTGAGGCAAACAGCAGAAAAGTGGTGAAAGAGTGAAGTTAAAATAATAAGAAATTCAAACCAAAACTTGTAGTTTCACTTTATAAAGACGCCAACTTTTAAATGTGAAAATGAAGGATTTCAAAGCCCAACATGTCTACTTTAATAACAAATATAATACTGTATATTTTAAATGAATTAGTAACAGTTGAATAGATGTTCAAACAGGTGTGATGTTGTGGATGTTTTCAGCTAAAAGACACGCTGCAGTATTTTCCACAGACTTGAAGTAATTACCACTTCAATGAAAAAATCACCCAAAACTAAAGTTTTACATCTTTTAGTGAATAAAATGCTGCTAAAACAAAACCATGAAAACGGTTTAGAGGCCAGTTTGTTCTGGCTCAGTGACCTGCTCTCTGTCCAGGTGGTGTTTCTGTGCCTGCAGTACTTCCTGTATGGAATCTTCCTCCACCCTCTGTATGTCTGCAGGGTAAAAGCTCCGTTTAATCTACAGTTATTTTACATTCATCTCTTGATCCTCTGGTTTGTAGTGAACCTCTGTGTCACATGTCCTCTCAGGCCTGGCCATGTCCACATCCTGTCAACTGTTACGTGTCCAGACCTACAGAGAAGAACGTCTTCATCGTCTTCATGCTGGCCGTGTCGGCCGTCTCTCTGGTGCTGAGTGTGCTGGAGCTGCATCACCTGGCCTGGAGACACTGCTGCAGGTACTGGTCCTTATTACACAGTGTGTATACACTGCTGCAGGTACTGGTCCTTATTACACAGTGTGTATACACTGCTGCAGGTACTGGTCCTTATTACACAGTGTGTATACACTGCTGCAGGTACTGGTCCTTATTACACAGTGTATATACAC